GAAGGAGGTTCAGAGGACCGTTAAGGGAAGTTGTAGAACTAGCTTCTTCATCAAAAGAAGGAGACAAACAAGAAGGAGAAACAAGAGAGGAAGACCCCAGTCCAAGGGAATATGATAATGAGACTGACTATAATGATGAGCAGTATCCTCCGGTCGATGAAAAATACAAACAACTGGAGGATCGTCTGAATGCAATGGAAATCCAGAAGGTACTTAGGCTGGATTTGGTTTCCAGGGTTGTCATCTTGCAAAAGTTCAAGGTTCTGGTGTTCGCTAAATATGATGGGGTCTCATGTCCCAAAATGCATCTCCAATCTTATGTGAGGAAGATTCAGCCTCACACTACTGACAAGGACTTATGGGTCCATTTCTTTCAAGACAGATTATTCGGGAGTCAACTAGAGTGGTTCTATCAGCTGTAGGGAACCAATATTCGTAATTGGGAAGACCTGGATACTGCTTTCTACAAGCAGTATCAGTATAATGCAGACCTTTCTCCCACCCGTACATAACTCCAAAGTATGTCTATGGGTTCTAGCGAGGGTTTTAAAGACTATGCTCAAAAGTGGAGAGACCTAGCGGGAAGAGTATAACCCCCTCTATCTGATAGGGAGTTGGTGGATATGTTTTTGGGTACCCTATCTGGTCTGTTTTTCAACCATCTGATTGGAAGCTCCTCAGCTGGCTTTACTTAGTTGATTTTGATCGGAGAAAGAGTGGACGCTGGTATTAGAAGTGGAAAGATTCAGAAGGATGCCTCTTCAAGTGCAGGAAAGAGACCTTTCATGGGAAAGAAAGAGGTCAGTGCTATTTACAATCAAAGAAATCAAGGCAGAACCGAGCGCCGTCCAACGGTAGGGGCTGTTATAATATCCAAGCCTGCAACTACTCAACAACGAAATAATCAGCCTAGAGCAGAAAGACCTGTAAGACAATTCACCCGGATAAATATGACTTTGTCTCATGTTTTGCCTCACCTACTGAAATCCAATATGGTTACCCTAAGGGAAGCTCCCATAAATCCCAACACCGCATCTCCTCGCTACAACCCAAATGCTCGTTGTGCTTACCATTCAGAAAGTCCAGGCCATGATACAAACGACTGTTAGGCTTTGAAGAACAAGGTGCAAGACCTTATTGAGGCGAAGGAGATTGAATTTGATGCTCCTGAGATTCCCAATGTTATAACTGCTCCCATGCCCAAGCACGCCCGTGGTGTTAACGCTTTTGACGATGATACATTTGTTACTTTTGTTGAGAAACTTGTTACTCCTCTCATGACTGTTAAGTGGAATCTGTTGCAAGCCGGTTTATTTCCGGGTTATGGTGAAGATTGCCACTTATGTTTATCTCTACCGACTGGTTGCTATTTGTTGAAAGCAGATGTTCAGTTCCTGATGGATGATAAAGAGATTCTATTTGAGAAGACTCTCGTCCCAACTATTTCTTGTAAAGATGTTTCGATTATAACCATTTCCACCAATCCTCCCAAGGTCTCCACCAAAAGACCCGTCAGGATTACATCTGCTCCAAAGTTGGCTCCCCTGATCATCATTATGCCAAGGACAATACCATACTCCTCGGACAAGGCCATTCCCTGGAATTATGGGGCTGACGTCTATTACCATGGCGTCAAGCAAGACCTGTTGGCTACTGAAGACAAAGTTTCTGGAAATACTGGCCCCGACATTGGTAACATCATTGGGACCAGCAAAATAACAAGAAGTGGGAGAGTGTTCTCACATGAGATTTCTCCTCCTAAAGCCATTACTATTACTGTGATCATTCCTACTGATGTTCCTGCTGATACTACCACCTCAATTCCTGTGATTACCTCTGTTGCCACCCCTATTACCAAGCCGACCGAGACTCGGGGAAAAGACATATTGGTTGATCCTGTCTAGATGAAGGAGCACAGAATCCATTCCAGAGGCTTCCAAGAAGGAAATGGAAGAAATCTTGAAGATAATAAAAAAGAGAGACTACAACATGGTCGAACAGCTGGGGAAGACCCCTTCTAAGATTTCAATGTTGGCCCTACTGTTATGCTACGAAGCTCATGCAAAATCTTTGGTGAAATTCATCAAAAATGTCCATATGCCACAAGAAACCTCCGCTGACCAATTTGAAGATTGTGTGGCCAGTTTGACAGCTAATAACGGTTTGGGTTTTTCTGATGTTGATCTGACACCCGAAGGAAGAAAACACAATGATGTGATGCATGTCTCCATCGAATGCAGGGGAATTACTTTGGCCCATGTTCTAGTAGATACTGGTTCTTCATTGAATGTGTTTCCCAAGAAGGCTCTGGATAGATTAGACTGCGAAGGTTTAACCCTGAAGCCCAACAACATTGTAGTGATGGCTTTCGACAGTTCAAAAAGATTGGTGCATGGGGAGGTGGACATCCCCATCAAAGTTGGTTCTCAAACCTTTGACTCCACCTTCTACGTGATGGATATTTGACCATCTTATTCTTGTTTGTTGGGACGCACTTGGATCCATGGGGCTGGAGCTGTCACGTCCACTCTGCATCAGATGATAAAGTACCTGGTGAAAGGAAAGATTGTCAAGATGCATGGTGAAGAGGAATACATGGTAAGTCACCTGAACTCTTTCAGGTATGTGGAACTGGATAGAGAGTTCCTCGAGACTCTTTGTTAGAACTTTGAAGAGGTGCCTCAGACCATAGCTGCAACCGAGACTGTTACCAGTGTGCCAAAGATCACCAAACCTCCCTTGAAAATGGATTCTCTCAAGGATGCCAAAGCAGTTATTGAAGAAGGTGGGTGTAGCATTTAGGGCCAACTCCTTGAAATTCCATACAAATCTGATAAGTTTGGTTTGGGTTTCTCTTCATGGGCTCAAAGGGTTGTTCGCCGTACTCGTGCTAGAGGACCTCCCCTACGCATCAACAATCATGGGGTCAACGCTTTATAAGACAGTGATGGTGACTATGACATGGACAACTGGATCTTCCCTACTACCAATGGTGGACCCAGTAACTGGACGGATAAAGACTTTGTATCGATTACTTTTATTCAGAAGTAATTGTCTTTCTTGTTTTCGGATATGTAATAATTAAACAATATAAACTCTATGGCCATATGTCTTACCTGGGGCACAATGGTTTATCTGTGAGGGTTATCATGTTTCAATCTCATATGTTATTAATAAAGCATTGGACGTTTTGCACACAAATTTTGCGCTCTCTGTCTTTCTTTTCTTCTTTTTACTTTTTCAATACAACTATGCTCTTACACACACTCACGTATTAAACTGCAGATCGATATCCACTCTGGATCCCATTGATAACGGTTTTACTATTGCCAGTTATGACTTTGAAAATCCGATTAACCAAGTCGAGGATGAAGGTGAGGAAGATTGTGAGGTACCCGGAGAACTTGCCAGACTGTTACAGTAGGAAGAAAGGGATATACAACCTCATGAAGAGCCAGTTGAGACAGTGAACTTGGGCACAGAAGAGGACAGAAAAGAAGTCAAGATAGGTGCAAATTTTGAGCTTAGTGTCAAACAGCGGTTGATACAGATGTTGCATGATTATGTCGAAATGTTTGCCTAGTCATATGAAGACATGCTAGGCTTAGACACTAATATTGTGGTTCATCGTCTGCCAAATAAAGAAGACTACCCTCCAGTAAAGCAGAAGGTCCATCGTATGCCTCCTGAAATGTCAGAGAAGATCAAGGCAGAAGTTATGAAGTAGTTCAACACTTGGTTCTTAGTTGTCACCTCCTATCCATAATGGGTTGCTAACATAGTCTCAGTGCCTAAAAAGGATGGCAAGGTACGAATGTGTGTGGAATACAGAGATGTGAATAGGGAAAGCCCTAAGGATGACTTCCCACTTCCCCACATTGACGTTCTGGTTGACAACAGCGTGCATCATAAGATCTTTTCCTTCATGGATGGTTTCTCTGTTTATAATCAGATCAAGATGGCACCCGAGGATGTGGAGAAGACAACCTTCATCACACAATGGGACAATTTTCTGTTACAAAGTGATGCCATTTGGATTGAAGAATGCTGGGGCAACTTATCAGCGAGCCATGGTAGCTTTGTTCCTTAACATGATTCACCATGAGATAGAGGTCTATGTTGATGACATGATAGTCAGGTCTCAAACTGAAGAAGAGCATATTGATCACCTGCAAAAGTTGTTTGATAGGTTGAAGACGTACAAGTTGAGGTTAAATCCGATCAAGTGCACCTTCGGGGTAAGGTCTAGTAAACTCCTAGACTTCATTGTTAGTGACAAGGGTATTCAGGTGGACCCTACAAAGGTAAAAGCTATACATGAGATACCGGTCCCCCGCACTTAAAAGGAAGTTAGAGGTTTCTTGGGACGCCTAAACTACATTGCCAGGTTCATTTCTCATCTAACTGCTACTTGTGAGCCAATTTTTAAACTCCTGAAGAATGATCAAGTGGTAAAATGGAATGACGAGTTCCAGATTGCCTTTGATAGAATCAAGGAATACTTTCAAGATCCTCCAATTCTGATGTCTCTGAGTGAAGGCAGACCTTTGATAATGTACTTAACAGTGTTAGATAATTCAATGTGGTGTGTGTTGGGCAGCATGACGAGTCTGGTCGAAAAGAGCATGCAATATACTACCTTAGCAAAACGTTTACCGACTGTGAAACAAGATACTCATTGCTCAAGAAAACTTGTTGCGCTTTGGCATGGGCTGCTCGCCGACTAAGACAGTACATGTTGGCTCACACTACCTTTTTGATATCTAAAATGGATCTGATCAAGTACATCTTCGAGAAGCCCACTCTCTCCGGAAGAATAGCGAGATGGAAAATGATCCTGACTGAATACAAAATTCAATACACAACCTAGAAAGCAATCAAGGGAAATGTATTAGCTGATCATTTGGCTCATCAGGCTGTGGATGACTAGAAATCCATGAACTTTGAATTCCCGGATGAGAATATTATATTAGTGACTGACTGTGAAGAACCTGGACCGGATGAATGACCTGAGAAAGGATCCCGATGGACTATGGTTTTTGACGGAGCTTCCAACGCACTTGGCAATGGTATCGGTGCCGTAATAATATCTCCTAAGGGCTGTCATACTCCTTTCACCGTCAGATTATGTTTCAAATGTACCAATAATATGGTTGAGTATGAAGCATGCATCATGGATCATCCCTTACAAAGAACATGTGCTAACGTTGCTTCCACACTTTGAAGAAGTCACCTTTGAACATTTTCCACGAGAAGAGAATCAGTTAGCGGACGCGCTGGCTACCATGTCATCCATGTTCAAGGTCAGACGGGACAACGAAGCTCCTCAAATCACTATTGAGAGATTGGATGAACTGGCCTACTGCTACGAGATCGATACTGAAGGGGTAATAGACAAAACTTGGTTTCATGAAGTGAAAAGGCATCTCGAGGCTCAACAATATCCTAAGGAGGCTTCTGTCAATGATAAGAAATTTCTGAGAAGGTTCTCCATAAAGTTTTTCCTTAGTAATGAAATCCTCTACAAGTGAAACCACGACTCTACTTTACTTCGGTGTGTAGACAAGAGAGAAGCAGAGAGGATTATGGAAGATTTATATGAAGGTACCTTTGGCACCCATTCTAGTTGACACACCATGGCTAAAAAGATCCTACGGGCAGGATATTATTGGTGCACTATGGAAGTAGACTATTATCAGCATTCTCGAACTTGTCACAAATGCCAGATTTATGCTGATAAAGTACATGTACCTCTGATTCCCTTGAACGTCTTGACGGATCCCTGGCCCTTTGCAATGTGGGGCATTGACATGAGCAGAGAGATTAGACCTACCTCTTCCAATGGGAATTGCTTCATCCTAGTGGCCATTGATTACTTCAAAAAGTGGGTTGAGGCTGCCTCTTTTGCTACTGTTACCAAGAATGTTGTGGCACAGTTCATCAAGCATAACCTTATATGTCGGTATGGTGTTCCAGAAAGAATCATCACAAATAATGGTACAAATCTCAACAATACGATGATCACCAAACTCTGTAAACAATTCAAGATCCAGCATCATAATTCTCCCCCTTACCGGCTGAAGATGAATGGCGTTGTGGAGGCTGCTAACAAGAACATTAAGAAAATCATACAGAAGATGATGGTGACATATAAAGTCTGGCATGAGATGTTACCATTTTATCTTCATGGTTACCGCACCTCAGCACATACGTCAATAGGGGCAACACCTTACTCTCTACTGTATGGTATGGAGTCTGTCCTACCTATTGAGGTCCAGATCCCTTCTTTGAGAATCATGAAAGATGCAGGTTTGAACGAAGATGATTGCATCCATACTCGACTCGACCAACTAAATCTGATTGATGAGAAAAGGCTTGTTGTTGTCTGTCATGGTCAGATGTACCAGAAGCGTATGATCAAGGCTTTTAACAAGAAGGTCAGACGACAGGTATATCAAGTGGGTGATCTAGTGATCAAGTGCATCATCCTGCCACAAGGTGATCCCAGGGGCAAATGGACTCCCACATACAAAGGGCCATTTGTAATCAAGAGCATATTTTATGGTGGAGCCATAATTCTAACCACCAGGGATGGTGACGACCTTCCTCACCCTGTGAATGTGGAAATAGTGAAAAGATAATACACATGAATAAAGACCCGCTAGGTTGACTGGCCTTGGAAAAAATAAGGGTATCCCAGCGAACCAAAAGTGTTCGTGCAAAAATTAGGGATAAATAAAAAAAATCTATACACCCGGAAAGTCGAAAACTTGAAAAGGCGGCTTGGGAAAAAAAGGGTATCCCGGTGGACCGAAAACCCGAAAGGGTGGTCCAGGTAAAAGTTAGGTATTTAAAGAGTATAACTATGTCCCATTAGATTACCTTGTGACCAGACTTCAATATCAACTATCAAGCTCAAACGGTACCAATCAATCCAGTCAGCTTCGGACAAGCAGCAAAGTAATGAGATGCTCAAGGACATAAGGGAAATAGAGGAATTGAAACTCAATGGGATTATTACACATAGCTATTTTCTCTTTGTACACTATTTTGTATAGTTTTTATTTTCAAGACGGCGTTCTCCTACTAGAACGTCAGTCTCTTTGTACAAAAATGCCCGTTATAGGAAAAATTCAAAATCAATGCAAATCATTTCTTTGAAAGTACAAAGCTATTTGTTTTATATTTTTATGTTTTGTTATGCAAAAACGTCCAGTGATTATTTTTGACATATGCATTTGAATATGATTACTGTTTACAAATACTTGCATATGAAACAGAAAGACAGTTGCTAATGACTTTAAGAAATGGGGAAAAGCCTAAAAAGGCCATTTGTATTCCCGACAGTTACTCTTTCCAGCTGGCACAAGGGCATCCTCCTGTCACATCCTCAACATACGTCTTGGTGATGTCTATATCCATGCAGAATAAAAACAACCAAAATCCTTACCTTTGCCTCCCCAAGAAGGAATTACTTCCTCCAACAAGGTTCCCTCAGAGAACTGAAATCCATGTTTCCAGCTAAGTTTTTATAACCTCGAACAGTTAATAAAACCTTATCCCCGTTAGAGTTTATTTCTCTAACTGCGGAAGTTTATCCCCCAAAAGAGTTTATTTCTCTACATTGGAAAAATCTTCCAACAGAGCATCATTTTCCCCACAGAGTCATTCTCGAGTAGGAGTCAAATATCACCGGCAGAATATCCTCAAACGGAAAGAGGAAATCCCCAGAAAATCATCTTCATTCACCATCCCCAGTGGAAATGAAAAAATCACTTTCCTCATCTACCAAATAGAAGTCTGGGATTCAGCTTCCCAGTACTCTCCAGCAGCAGTCAGGGATTTACTTTCCTAGACTAGGAAATATCGCAACAGCATTCCATATTCATACATGATGGCATGCGCATACATATTGCATACAACATAATCTCATTTATTTTGAGAACATAATTACACAATGCATTCCATGCATCATGACATTGCATACGACTAACTCTTTACCTTTTCAGGAAGGATCAAATCAATAAACATCATTGACTACTTATATGACCTGAAAATCTACTCAAAGGCTACGTCTGACGAAGGGTTATTTTAGCATTTTCCTCAGAAAGACCATTCTCAAGACCTTTCTCTGGTTCAGTTAAATCGACACTAAGATTTTTCTGATTTCTATTCCAGTTAAAGTTAATTCAAGACCTTCCTCTGGTTCAATTAAATCGAAACTAAGATTTTTCTGATTTCCATTCCAGTTGAAGATAATTCAAGACCTTCCTCTGGTTAAGTTAAATTGACACTACGATTTTTCTGATTTCCATTCCAGTTGAAGATAATTCAAGACTTTTCTCTGGTTCAGTTAAATCGACACTAAGATTTTTCTGATTTCTAATCCAGATGAAGTTAATTCAAGACCTTCGTCTGGTTCAGTTAAATCGACACTTAAGATTTTTCTGATTTCCATTCCAGTTGTAGATAATTCAATACCTTCCTCTGGTTTAGTTAAATCGACACTAAGATTTTTCTGATTTCCATTCCATTTGAAGATAATTCAAGAGCTTTCTCTTGTTCTATTAAATCGACACTAAGATTTTTCTGATTTCTATTCCAGTTGAAGATAATTCAAAAGCTTTTTTTGTTTCAGTAATTCGACACTAAGATTTTATGATTCTTACCCAGTTAAAGAAACTGTAAAGCCTGGAATCCAACCAGATAGCATTTGATTTCATATTCCCTAATAAGTCACTGTGAAGCGTGGAACACAACCATATAGCAGGCAACCTTAATGTCCCCAGAAGGTCACTATGAAGCCTGGATTCTGACCAGATAGCAGTTCCCTTTTGTCTCTCCAGTCAAGAGATAATCCCCCAGTAGAGTGATAGACAACTGAAGCCCCTAGACTCTATTTTCCCAAAACAGATACCAACACTCCTCAGTGGAGTCCTCCTCAATAACAGGAATAGGAATCCCCACAAAGGAATGTCTCATGAAATCAACATTGTTCTCTATATGGCATCTTTAAGCCCATCTCCGACCGTCACATTCTCTAGATGACATCTTTAAGCCCATATCTGATGATCTTCTTCCATCTTCTCCAAATGGCATCTATAAGCCCATTCCCGATATTATCCACCAACATTATCACTTCAGACGAGTGCAAATTTCCAGGCACTCTAGTGTTCAATCATCTTCCATCTTAAGATCACAAAAGGAAGACAAGCCAGCCTACATCCTCAGGTTTAAGAAGATTGAACAGTGGCAGCTGTTGTACCCCAAAATGTTCCCTCTCATTTCACTCAACACATGCCCATTGAGGTCCCGAATTTTCTCATAGATGATCAAGAATTGACCAGACAAAGTCTCCTCCTAAGGCAATGAACCTCTGACTAGGGTTTTAATTTTCATCAAGATGTGTGAACTCCAATGGTATCAAATGTTGTACATGGTCCTAATATGTCCTCAAGGTTATCCATATCAAATTTCATGCCTTTCACAACAAGTTTGCTCAGTCAACTGCTCAAATGCCTGAAAATCAACTGTATTAGGTCAAAAGTCAAATGTGGCCTATATACAGTCAAACTTCAAGATTTTTGGTCAACATCATCATTTTGAAGTGATATCCATCATTTGATCAAGGGTTGATCACAATTCCTCAAAAAATGCTCCTAACTCATCAAAAGTCAAAAATTGCAAATTAGAGTTTCTATAGGAAAAGTCAACCAAACTTTGACCATGCATAACTCTCTCATACTTTATCAGAAATTTTTCCACCAAACTCATTTTGAAGAGAATCCAATTCCCTACAACTTCTCTTCATCCCTCAAGTTCAAGAAATGCCCCAGTTAAAAGATACAAGCTCAGACATTATAGGTCCTTTCAAAAAGTCAACAAAAACACATTTTGGGTCAAAGCTCCTTACATAAACATGGAAAATCCAATTGATATGAGATTAAAAGGGTTATTTATAGGACATCATAAGCTCTCTAAAAAGTCCAAGAACACCCTATTATGGTTAAAATTGAGAGAGATATGCATTTCTAAAGTTGACTATATCTTGAAAAAATGCACAAAAGTCAATGTGAGTAATTGGATCTTTTGATCTAATGGGCGTGGGTTTTGGATCTCAAACATATCCATGGACTTATTCAGGACATTTAAATCCATTATTTTATTTTTATGAGATTTAGTTTTATTTATTTGAATTTTCATTCATTTAAATATTAATAAATTAAATAAAATAGTTAAATGATGAACTAAATCCAAAAGGTTTGTTTTATAACCACATCATGAGTCTAAAATCAAAAGATTAAGACATGAATTCGTGTGAAGGATGATTGGAGAGAGAAGAGCAAGTTTTGGCCAAAATTAGAAACATAAAATTCTAAGATGAAAATCAAATCCTTTCCATCCAATCTTCAAGATTCAGTCCATATTTGTTAACCTAATATGATATACTATATATGCATAAGCGTTCCATACCTAAAGCAGGTGCAACTACTGCAAAAAAGACTCTGTTCACAAGCTTGAAATTTCAAAG